CTTCCTGGGTGAGGGGGTTCTCATCCCCTTCGTTAAATTAAGGGGCAGTCATGGAAGGTAGCGGAAAAATGTTTTATTGTGTATTGCCTGTGGCACCTAGGACTGTCTGTGTCATAGGGAAGGTAAATGGATTGTCACAATGCCACAGTGTTGTACATGTGTAGTCCCAGAGCGTTGCTGTTTCTCGACACCTTTTCTTAGCCTCTCAGAGTGGAGAGTCAGCCTCAGTCCTTCTCTGACATCGATGTCTTTGTTTTTAAGTACCATGGCTTGATCTCAGGGCCACTCATTAAGCTACGTGCTCAACTCTTTAAACAATTTCTAAAGTGCCGGCCAAATAGCTCAGTGGATTAAAACACCTGCTTAGGCAGACACGGGTTCAATCCCTGGGGCACCTGTAATCCTAGCTCTTTGGGAGGCTGAACACAGGAGGATCACTATGAGTCCAGTCTACACAGTGAGACCCTGTAGAGCCTTACTTAAAAAAAAAAAATACACAAAAAATTTCTAATTTTCAGACAGTCTCACTAAGTTGCTCAGATGGGCTCAAGCTTGTAACCCTCTTGCCTTGGCTTCCCAGTGTGCTGGGACTACTAGTGTGTGCCACTGTGTCTAGCAGCTGCGGTCTGGAGCACATCGTTTGACTTTTTATTTGATGAACTTCCACTAGACGATGGGAGCCGAGGGCCCTGCTCAGTGGGAGGTCACAGGACTAGAGCAGGCTGTGCTTATGAGGTTGCAGAAGGCCTGGAGGGCATTAGGCATAGATTCTTCAGAGACGGACAGGGTGAATGAAGTTGGACTTTGGATCTGGAAAGAAGCCATCCCCAGTGGAGTGTGGCAGGGAGCTGGCGGGGCTGCTGAAAGCATTGAGTCACTCAGAGATGTAGGCCAGGCCACCTGTTGCCGTGCGGCTCACAGCCCTGTGGACCATCCTGCCATGAGCTGGCTCCAGGCACAAGTGTCCACATGAGTGACGGCTGTCAGCAAATCATGCAGAGCATAACCACTCTCCAGAATCCAAAATCAGGCAGTGAGCAGCACCAGGGACAACCCGGTTGCTGGGTGCAGGCAGGAGGGGCCTCCAGCAAGGTGACTACCCAGCAAGGGGCCCTGAAAGGCTAACGGGGACCAGTGGGGTCTCCTCAGAGTGACGCAGTGAAAAGAAATACGGATTCTGTAACCAATTTGTGTAAATCACAAGCCCAAACTGGAGATTTAAAATGGTAAGTGGAGAAGAATATACCTGCAATACAGGGGATGGGGCCACTGTAAAGGGTGGCATTTGCAGTGAAGCCTTTTGTTTTCTGCAATAACTGAAAAAGTTCTTCATTTTGCTATATTTTTACGTTGTACAGGTAAGGGAATATATATACTAAAATATAAGGTATTTCATATTTGTTAACTTAGAAGGTTATGTTGGCTTGTGTTTTTATAACTCATTTAAATACATTTACCTTTTTTTTTTTACATTTACCTTTTAAAAAAATACAAATAAATTACACAAAATGAATTATTTGCTTTGAAATAAGCTATGATCTGTATGTGCGATTTACCAGGGATATGCTTAATTGCACAGGACCTGCTTAGCAGGTGTGAGGTCCTGAGTTCAATTCCTGGTGTCTAAGTAAATAAATATAAGGGTATCAGATTTTTCTGTAAGATTTATTTAATAAAATTATGTTACTGTTTATTAGTGTACATATAGCACTTTCATTGTTTGTGACAGGGCGTGTAGTAATTTTGTGGTTTGAAAAACACATGTACCATGTAAAAAGAGAATATAAATGAATAGTAACAACATCTGTTTTGGTTTAATCAGATATAAATATTTTTATATAAATAGCAGAGGATGGATGAAAGAGTGCAATTTCTCTTTTGTCTTCTTTCAGTGTTATTCTAAGCTTAGGGGGCAAAGAGTCCAGAAAGTTTGGGGTTTTTTCTTAAAGTTATAAAATTATTGAATTAATAAAAATTTGATGATTTGTTGAATGAATGTTATTTTTTTTTCTAGTCAAAATGTGTTTAAGAAGTAAAAATTCTGAAAGTTTTCATACTTTTGGTGTCATCTTTTCTACACTCCAAACTCAGCTTTCACTTGGTCTGAAATACCATCTTGGAGGCGGGGATTGCGTCCAGTGGAAAGTGTGCTCAGGCGTGCTGACTCGGAAGCTGATTGTGGCAAAAGAAAGTCTTCAGCCTTACTTCAGTCTCGGCATTGCCAGGCTGACGGTCCCAGACAACCTGAAGTCAGGAACTGCCTGGACACATCCTGTCCTAGGCCACTCTCACCTCTGTGCTGGAGGAAGGATAATAAATTGATGACGGCTATTTTAAAAAGAGGAAAGAAAAGGAAAGGAAGAGCTTTGCTGTAGTGACTAGGAAATAGTGAGGACCCTTTATTATGAGTTTTGAAGTAGAAATAGTCGTGTAGCCATTTGGAGTGATCTGACAGATTTTTGGTGGGACATGAACACATGTCTTTTCAAGTGGAAATCTCTGTAACTCATTGAAAGATCTGGGCTTTTGTTTGGCTTTGTGGGGATTCACCAAGACCCTGTTTGTGCAAGGCAAACGCTGTCACTGAGTGAGTTACAACTCAGTATCAAGCTTTAGAAAAAGGCTTGCTCCACATTGCTTCTTTGGGAGTTGTAGACAAACATAATTTATTCCATATAAAACTGTTGAATGAAGGGGCCAAGGAGATGGCTCAGTGGAATAAGCGCTTCCCTGGCAAGCGCAGGGGCCTGAGTTCAATCCCCAGTTCTGCCTAAATAAACAAACAAACAAACTGTTGAATGAGAATACTATAAAAGTTTGGACATAGGGCTGGGGAGGTATCTTGGTGGTCTAAGTGTCTGCCTGGCAAGCGCAAGGACCCGGGTTCTATCCCTAATACTGCATTCCATGCTGGCCCTGCACTGTGCTGGCTCCTGAACTAGGCATGATGGTGCACACCTGTAATTCCAGCCCTGGGGAGGCTGAGACAGGAGGAGCATTACAAGCTCAAGCTGTGTAGCAAGACCCTGTACCAAATACATAAATAACTTTAAAAAAAAAAATTTGAACATAAAGCAGAGTAACAAGGACTAGAACTGTTAAAAATTGTGAGGATAAAAAATCATAGAAGATTAAAGGGTCCTGAGTACCTGTGAGCTTCGGAGTAGGAAGTGGGGGTCCAAGGGGGGACTTTATGGCTTCTGAGGCCAAAAGTAAAGGGTTTGGAGAAGACTGAACACGTCCTTGCTGCTGTGTGGCATTTCCTTCTCCCTCTTCCCCATGACTCCTTGCCAGGCGCGGCTCGCAGCCCCACCATGTGGCAGTGGAAGCAACATGGGTGTAGGGGCTTGGTGCCTAGTGTGCCATGTGAGGGTTCCAGAACACATCTGTCCCTGCTCAGCCTCACGCTTGCGACCCGCCCTCTGCTGCCTTGCTGGTCTGTGGCACGCGGAGTCATGGCCCCTGTCTCAGGCCATCAGTGTAAGTGGTTGTGCCTACAGTGTGCGGTTCGGGGCACTGCTAGGGAGGAGGGCGCGTGGCTAGTTGCTACTCCTTGAGGTGTTCTGCTTTATATTCATTTCACACGTGTGATTTGCTGTCAGATGATCTATTAGTTCCTCCTATAGGCCATACCTAAGGTGCTTTTTGTTTTTTGTATTTTAGGAAGGGTCTATAGGGTGTTCAGGATCTCACTACTAGATCAGATTCTTAGTGATCCACCTGTTTACAGCCTCCCAAGAGCTGGGATTACAGGCGTGCGCCACCATGCCCAGTCTCAATTGCCGTCTCAGTGGGCCCTGGGGGCATGGCCAGCACAGCAGGCCCTGGGATCGAACCCCCGCTCCTGTGCCTGCTTGCAGGCACTTTAATCCTCTAAGCTATTTGGCCAGCCCTGAAATATTTGCATTTTAAAATCTATTTCACTTTCTCACGAGTAGATGACAATAAGATGATACTGTCCTACATATTTACTTTCTTGGTTGTGTGTCCTTAAGCATTTGACAGCTCCATTTGCTCTAGCATAAACCCCTGCTCCAAACAGAAGAATGTCTCCTAAGATTCACATTTGTAAAGTTTTGCGTAATGGTGAGCCTCTTATTAAATACATCATCTGATGTTTATGTATCAGGAATGTTTATGCATTAGAAAACGTTATTTTGGGGCCAGACTATAGTGCCTGCTTAGGCAAGCGCAGGAACTACGGTTTGATCCCTGGCATCACATGCTGCGCCAGCCCCCCCCCATAGGCTGAGCTGGCCAGAGTCTGGGCATAGTGGCACACACCTGTAATCCCAGCGCTGAGGAGGCTGAAAGCAGGAGGATCACCAGAGTCCAAGCTGCGTAGTGAGACCCTGCAACAAATACATTTTTAAAAAAAGAATAAAAGAAAATGTTATTTTTGGGGCTGGTGAGATGGCTCAGCGGTCTAAAGCACCTACTTAGAACAAGCTTAGCAAAGCACAGGGACCGCGGTTCGATCCCCCAGCACCA